ACCCTAAATCCTGAAAGCCTAAATGCTAAACCCTAAACGCTAAACCCTAAATCCTGAAACCCTAAACTCTAAACCCTTAATCCTGAAACTGTAAAACCTAAACCCTAAAATCCTGAAACCCTAAACTCTAAACCGTTAATCCTGAAACCATAAAACCTAAACCCTAAGACTACGATCCCATCCTCCAGACCAGACAAGCAAGGTCAGCACTGCAATCGTCCGCAGACGAGGTCCGACTGTAAGTGTATGTAGGTGTATATACACACACATATTTCTTCAAGGTTCATATGAAAAGTATATAGTCATATCATATCATATCATATCATATCATATGTATATACATATGTATATATCATGACATCATATGATCTGATCTTAGATGGTGCTATGCTATACTACAAAGCTCGCTTCTTTAGTGGGGCTGAGTAGGGATTAGCAAAGCATAATCGCTGTATAATCCCTATATGATACATTTCCTTCTTCCCTACTAACCCTAAATCGTAGAGCCTACATATTCCTTTATTTCCTTACCCTAGACCCTAAATCCTAAATATTCCTTATTTCCCTGCTAACCCTAAACCCTAAAGCCTATACATTCCTTTATTTCCTAACCCTAGACCCTAAATCCTATATATTCACTTTTTCCCCTTCTAGCCCCCGGGTAAGATTACAAAGCTCACTTCTGTGCCGGCTGGGAGCCAACAGGCCAGCACGGGTGACGACTCTGAGGCCAGGCATGACCAGCATGTTGCTGTATATGTATTTTTTTGAACTATTATATCATATATAATTGTAGACTGTATACAATATACGATAACATATACATACTGTATGATATATTATATAATGTATAACATATGATATATGGTATATTATGCATTAAATTTTACAGAATATATATACATATTCCGAATCACATATTATGTTATATATTCTATATCATATCCATTGTAGAACGCTCCCTGCTACCTGCCTTGATGCTTGCTGTCGATGCGCGACGCTACCTCAACAAATTACAAGGCACGGGGAAACCAGTCCTACCGTTGGTAGTAAAGGTTCTGTTTTGACACTTGCATGCATGCGAGAAAAAAGTGCATGCTGCATAAATCCACCAGTCACTTCGGGCCTGGTATGTTGCGGCAAAGGGGCCTTGGAGGCCCTGCGTGCTAGGAGGGGTGGATGTAAAGGGGACGTGGTAGGTAGACCTTGGGAGGCCTAGGCGTTTATGTTATTGGCTGGGATCTACAGCTTTGGGATTCCGACATTCGAATGGACACACAGCGAAACCGGCCGCTGCATAGCTGCCCTAAAGCAAACGTGCCTGACAACTTGGCTTTCGCACTGGCCTCGTCCGCATGCCGGCTTATGCTGAAAGGCCATGCGTAGTGTGCCTGATTGGATTTGTCTGGACTGCGGTTGACACAAGCACGCCCTTTTGAGACGGTTTCTTCTGCTTGGTGCGTTGCGTTGTGATTGTCGACTTGCGGATGTGGGTAATTATTCAGTTCAGTGCCAACAGGAAAGACTGCGCTGGATTACGTGTCTCTTCTCATGGTTTCAGGAGCAACCTTGCAGGTAGTTTCCATCTTTTTTTCAGGGATTTGCTTCACATCTCAGCCTTGCAGATTGCTGGGGTCATATATCAACAGAATTTCATGCACGGAGCTTGTCAAGTTTGACCTCACAATGTGATCACAGCTTAAAGTCGGCCGCGAAAACAGTTTTATCTAGGAGTCGCATGCTTCGGTTCAAAGTATGCAGTGCTATTCTGCGTCACTTGACATGTGTAGTTCGCGATGATCATGCTTTTGCATGGCTTGCTTCTGTCATGGGGTTTCAGAGTACCTGCCTTTGTGCGTGTCAGCAAAGACGTGCCTTTTCTTGCAGGGAAGTTCTTTTCAGCCCGTCGGGCACTTACTGTAGTGCTCACAATTGGCAAATCTTACATGCTCCAAACTTGACGCTCTTGTGTCCCAAGGCAAGCAAAAGGTACATGGGTTCGGACGCCACCCGATACAGCTCTCCCACGGATCGGGCTGACTGCAAATGCATGCAGCAATCAATATTGTTACTATTTACTATTACTATCACTACTACTCTTATTGACTATTGCTATCCTACCATCCCCAGATACTATTCGCGTGGTTGCCCATAATATCCCATAATGATGATAGATATTCATATTAACAACAAGAAATAACAAGTAAGAATGGTTCATAATGATCACTACGAAGAATAACACTAAATATAGGCTTAACAACAATCATAATCTCAATACTAGTAATAGTAGTAATAACAATAATAATACAGCTGGGTCAACTAGAGGAGGATGCTGGAGACGGCTCTCCCGAGTCCGTGCATGGGACTCAGATAGCCCAAAGGTTGAATCCCTTTCTCCACTAACCATGATAATTGTGATTGTTCTCCCAAGAACTATACTAGTAGTGATTAGAGGGTTTAGGGTTTAGGGTTTAAGAATACTCACATGTATAGCTTTAGTAATTGTAGTGGTCAGTCACAGTAACAACAGTGGTAACGAAAATAGGAATGATGATAATATGAAGTGTGGGGATTTTGGTAACCCCAACCTCCCAAAATTGGGACATCATTTCAGTCATATGATAGTTATGGATCTTCATCATTAATCTCCCAGTTGACGAGGGCACCGGCGCCGTGGACAATTCCAATGCCGGGGAGCAAGCACAAAGAGCTCATCCCCGGCCAGCAGGAGTTTTACAGCAACACGGACCTCTTCCGAGCCCGCTTGCAGCAATCGTGGGATTCGTCATTCAGCTGTCCCTTGTCCAGCAACTGCTGCATGCGCTTATGCAAGGTGATGCAGGAACTACAAAGGGCCACGGCAAACCCGCTGGACTGTGGATTGCCTCGGCACTGCTGCCAGCTGAGTCAACGGTCAGCATATCCCCTTGTGTACCAGCAGGACGTTGTGAATCCAACTCCATATCTACCTCAAGATGCAGGCAGATGAAATCCTGTTGCAGAAGTTTTTGATCAGGCCCATGATGGCCCATGTCTGGTGCGTGAACCATGGTGATCCTATGTTTATGCCCTTTCATCCCAAAACCCTACCCTTAAACCCTATGTTTTCTCGCTTTCATCCAGCCCAAGGCCACCCATGAGGCCACAAGGAATCACATTCACACCAGTTGTGTAGGGATACTGTGGCACACGAAGGCACCTGGTACTTCGGCATTTGATCATGCTTATTCACTTTTATGCTTGCAATCCTTCCTGTTCTGGGAGGCTACTTCAGTGACGAACTTGCAAAACAATGCAGCGCGGCTGTAATTGGAAGATGCTGTCATGCTACGCATTGGCAAGCTGAGCTTTAGAAGGCGGTAGGCAGCGGTGGTCACGTCGGCCAGCCAGTTCTCGGGCCTAGATGCCGTAAACCATGAACCCTAAAACCTTATGTGAAAACCCTAAACCCTAAACCCTTCCTTGTAAACCCTGAACCCTAAATCCTAATCCCTAGACAATGTTACTGCCCGACATTTCCGTCAAGACAGGGCTGCAGAAGGAGGTTGCGGAGTTGGCGGACCTGATGGCGCAGCGCGAGTCAGAAATGCCAGAAGCTTACAGGGGTAGGTGATCCCTATAAAGTTATAACTTTACTGTCAAATAAAACTGTGGTAAATGCACAGAGATGCATGGAGAGAGGCGGAAAAGGAGCAAGCACCTCCAAAAATATCCTCTTCACCCACATCAGAAAGATCAGGGCGTAAAGGTAGAATTCCTTTCTGAGACCGGCCCTTCTGAAGGCTAGCTGGCACTTGTACTTTCATTTCCCTCTTCTTCCCCCCATCCCCCGGCCCACCCCAGATGTCAACAAAGTGCCAGATGCAACTCAAGCAATCTGTGGGGCTTAGGGTCTGGGGTTGAGGGTTTTTTCGGTTTAGTTTTTTTAGGGTTTAGGGTTAGGGTAAAGCTGTTGAGCATGCGCGTGGTCTGTTTCAAGCGCTCCAGGAATGTTTTTAGTTGCCGCGTGCATGCAAAGCGCAGTTCATATGCCAGTGGGAGCTGTCTGCCGCTGTTTTGGTCGCTGCAGCCTTGAGATTCAGTACCATCCTGACTCTGCTTGTGTAGGGTTTACTTTTCAGGGTTCAGGGGATAAGGACAGGTAGGTTGATGTCAAGCCCGACCAATTTTTGATGGCGCATTCGACACGTCATTCCCAGCCTGAAGGAGGTCCCTGCACCTGAAGCAGACCTTTCATGATCCTTATGCAATCCCTATACTATGCAAGCCGAATATACTCTTATTACATCCCCATTTATATAATGCCATATTACTCTGTATATATTCCCCATGCAATCCTTATATGCTTCCTATAGAATCCCTATGCCCTATACATATATTATATATATACATACATACATGTGATGCACCTGAGGCAGAGCCTCCATCAGCAGCTTACGATGATTTCAGCGTTGCAAACTCCCATGTCGCAGCCGCAAGCACCCCAACTGAATCAGGCCTGGAAAGGGATCCTGAGAGCTTCAGAACCATCAGTTCTGATGAGTACTATGTAGACCCATGATTAATAAACCCCCTCCTTTTAAGGGCCTTAATATGAGGATCCCTGTTGTAATCCCTATTAAGGGGAGGGTGTTTCTTAATCAGGGGTCAGGGGTCTGGGTTATTACTGTACACTTTAGGTTTAGATACCCGGCCCCAACTAACGTATTGTGGGGGCTGGCCAGGGTGGTACATGAGGTCGAATTCACAGGAGTACAAGCTAGACCCTTATCTCCAGTTGGGGCATGTCGCAGCTTCCGAACATACTAAAGGCCCACCCCTCCCCCCCCAAAAAAAAGATTGTTTCCTTCCAGCCTGAATGTATTCATTACCCCTTCCGGTTTGGCTATTGCTTTTACTTTCATCTGGATGGTTATTAATACTGTCAGTGTTACCATGGCTGTTTCCACTATTGTGATGTTGCTGTTATTGTTACTGTTAACTGTCTTGTGGTTTTGTTGTGCGGAAAACTATTCACGCTACTAGTAAGTACAATTGCCATTGCTGCTGTTGTTGTCGTTGTCAATGTCGTCTTCATCGTTGTTGTCAATGTTACTGCGGCCACCGTCACTATTATGATTCGTGTTATAGTCACTATTCTTGCTATTGTTGTTATTCTTTATCGTTACGGTTACGGATACAATCAAATTATTGTTGCTTGGTCGTTAGTTATTGTTAGTGCCAATAGAGTTCACGCGCAGAAGCCGCGATTCCGCCTCATGCTTCTTGATGTGGCCTGAAATGGCACGCAAAACACATGCACATGACAAGAACACCTGGAAATCGTGCTGATGCTGATGTCAGTATTCGTGTTTTTGTTGCTCGTTTGCCGTCCAGCGCATCTCCGCCGGTGCATCCGATGACCAGGGCATCCATGACCAAGCAAGGTTGACCGGAGCGTCTGTGCCCAAAATAAAATTACAACGAGAGACTCCGATCACCAGAACATCTATGCCCGTTTCGGGGCATATAGGGGTATATCGGGGTATATAGGGATCATGGAAAAGAAAATGGAAACTGCTAGTAAAGTTACATTCGGGTTATAAGGTCCATCCCCCATGTCTAACTCTCCGTAGCAACGCCATGCGGATGTGGACTGCTCGAGAATCTAGGTACGGAAGTGCTCGAAGTATTGGCCCTTTAACTCTAATCATGTTTATAGGGACTCCCAACACCCTTATGAATCCTTATGTAACCCCTAAATGACCCTAAACTCAAATTTCCATTTTCTGTTCCGTTTGGTTCTCCGTTACCAATGTTGGTAGGGCACTTCCCGACACCTTCCCCGATGCTGCCAAGGACAGCGATTGGCTTTTGAGAAGGAAAACACAATTTTGCGTTCAGGATCTCGTCGTCTTACTGAACTCTAAACCCCACACACTAAACCCTAAACCCTCAGCCTAAACTCTAGTTTGACACTACATTTCAGCTGGGTATGTTCTTCAAATTCCATACAGCGCGGTGTTTTCAGCATGTTGGAAGGGCTCGGTGCTTTTGAGTTGCGCGCAAATGGCGCGCCTGGGACGTTGGTATTATTACTGTTACTGCTACTTTGCCATTTCAATGTTGATTTTATGGGGATTGTCAATATTATTGCTACCATTGCTATTCGCATTGCTATGATCGTTGACATTGTTATGATTAATTTCAGTCTTACTATTACTGGTGCGATGACTATTACCAATAAAGACCTTTATTGGAGTAGTTAGTTTTTGCTTATCATGCCTGTCACACCCGCTGTTACTCTACTTGTCGCTAGTACTCTTGTACTGACACACTTACTGTTGCTACTGCTTTTATTGTTAATGCTGTTGCCATCACCGTTGCTATTACTGTTGCTATCGCGGCTACTAGTGTTATCGCTAATACTAGTACTGCTACAAGCCCTAGGCCCGATAATAATATTACTATTACTGGTGCTGATAGCTTTTATTATCATTCTTCGTACTCTTACTCTTATTTTGACTATGGTGATTTACCATTATTACCAGTATTTCTATCATTGCTATTATTACTATTGCTATTGTTATTAGTATTGTAATTGCTAGTAGTATTTTCACTATAATTACTATTGTTATTACGGTTGTGACTATTGCCGAATTTTACGAATATTTGTTTACTACGTTTACGATCTGACAACTATTATTGCTAGTATGTTTCTGACTGTTAGTACTACTGTTAGCATCTTCATTATTATCATTGATTCTTTTTCTTTCGGTTACTATTACTGTTAGTACTTCTATGACTGGTAAACTTTTAGCATTCTGATCATTGTTATTGTTACTTTCCCTTCTACTTCTTCTACTCGTAGTCATACTACCCTTATTACGACGCCTACCGCTGCTACTTCTGCTTCTATTCATAGTACTGCTTCTATTATTGCTACTACCCTAAACCCTAAACCCTAAATAGTAGCTTCTATTTCATTTTCCATAATCCCTATATAACCCCAGTAACATAACCCTATAAACCCTAACCAGCCAACCTTGAATCCTTTGGGCAGGGCCTGGAGATGCAAATCCACATGCTGCGGAACCAGTTGGATGAGATCAGTCAAATGATGAGGCTGCTGATTTGGGGTTGCGAAAAAAAAATTGGGACCCCATTTTGGAGGTCCAAATAAGGGTTATAGTATTTAGGGGTCTATACCCCAGCGTACGTAGTACAGCACCTTCTGTAAACGCGTGAGAAAACCTATCCCCCCTTCAGGCCTGCAAAAGAAAAAAGAGGTCTCATCCTCAAGAGGCCATCGCACCGAGCTAGGTTATCTGGGGTGTTGGATTTGAAAACGAAGACCTGCCGTCGCGAGACATGGCCCCCCCCCCTCCCCCACATCGGTGTATTATTAGAGTGCCATATCTACATGCGCGGCGAGACGCCCTGAGCCCCAAACCCTAAGCCCTAAGCCTTGTTACAAGCCCTAAGCCCCAGCCCAAAACAACCCTTCTATGCTCGCAATCTTTTTGTGCCTGGCCCTCGGTCAAAACGGAGCGGCAGTCTGATTATGGACTCATCTTAGTGGTAGTCAGCAGCGTTGGAGAGGGATATTGGACCCTGTATCGGGATAGTGTCAGGAAGTTTGGGTGTAGATACAGAGACATAGAAATTCTCTAGAGATATGTAGGGATGTTAGTGGAGAATCAAATGGAAAAGAAGATGGAACACGAAATGACATGTGGGCTTAATACAAGGGTTATGTATCTTACCGTTTGTTAGCAGGGAAAGAAGGAAGTGAAAAGAGCATCGAAACTAGTTTTCTGTTCAAGGTTTAGGATTAAGAGAACCTTTTGGCTGCAGACTGGGACCATGAACAATAATCTATGGGCAATTTAACCGTCCTTTGTTCATCATGTCCTTGATTCCTTCCATCATCATTATATTCTCCTTGATCTGGCGACCCTGAAAGAAGGGAACCCCAATTTTGGGAAATCCTTTCTTCTATAGCTAGGCCAGAGCCACCTTCCGCTCTAATACGCTGGATGCTGCCCCCACCTAGCCGCGGTGGGTTTAGGGTTTAGGTTTTAGGGGTTTAGGTCTTAGGGCCAATTTTTCAGCCTGATCAGTGTGTCAGATTGGGATTTGACAGAGTGATTGCCCCACTTGCAGGCTATCTCAGCCAGGACCTCCTCCACAGACCTTCACAAAAAGCCAGAGCCCATCACAGGACAGCGGCATCCGTGCTAATGCAGCAGAGGTTTCCGGTAATTATGCAAATGTCGAGGAGGACGAAATCCTGACCGTGATGATGCGCAACATCCCGAACAAGATGGACACTGAGTCATTTGGGTAGTTCACACAATTGGTGTCCCACTTTGGTACCCTTAAATATGAGATCCCGTGCTATGACTTATAGCCAAAAAGGGGGCCACATTTTGAGAACAACCACCTTTTTTCTGAAGCCGTGCAGTCGGCGCAATTTTCAGCTATGAGGTACACGCAGAAGATGCTCATTGAGGAGGTGAACTCCGTTGGCTTTCAGGGCACCTATGCTCAGCTCCAAGACTTTCCATGGGCTACTGTCAATATTTGTTTTACCAAGGGTGCATTAGGATTTGGGGTTTAGGGGTTTAGGGTTTAGGGTTTAGGGTTTAGGGTTTAGACCCTAAGCCCCTAAACCCCTAAAACCCTATGGACTGGACTGGAGCTCCCGTGAGCCCCAAGGTAGCTTGAAACTTCTTCACATGCCCAGCCAGCCCTCAGGATTTCGTCTACTTGCCAATTGCCCTGCGCTTAAGTGGTCGCTTTGGTTTGGGAGTTTCCTGAAATAGGGGACCCCAATGTAGACACCCAAAATATTACAACCTTATCATGCGGACCCTCTCGGAAAGGTACCCCTATTTTTGGGAAACGCCATTTGGGTAATTATTGTTGCAGCTTGTTCTCTTCCTGAGGATAAGGAGTCCGGCGCAAACAAGGGGTATGCGTTTGTGAATTTCCTCCGCGCGGACCTTGGGATAAGTTTCATTGCCTGATTTGGCTGGTTATTCCTGTTGCTATTATTCGGATGGTTATTATCAGTGTTGTTACTATTACTGCTATTCTTATTCTGATCAGTATTATCGCAAGAGCACGGCGACTTGCTGAAGAATGTCTTGCAAAGGCCCTGACTATGCATACGCCTTCAAGCCGGAGTCCTCAGAGTAAGTGCAGACTTTACCATGTGCCGATTTGGCTTTAGGGTCTAGGGTTTAGGGGTCACAAAGGCTCGGGTTCTGCTGGCTCCCGGCAACTGGGAAAGCCGAATGCTTGCCATGCATATGCCACAGAAGCTGGAGGCGAGCTTTCAACGGGAAGCAGATGGCCCAGTTCAAGTCAAACAAGATCGTGAATGCATCTCAGACTGTTTTTGGAATCAAAGCTTCTACATGGGAGTTGTCCAAATTCTGGCCCCGACTGGGGTGCCCCAAATATTTGGGGCCGTATGATAATGGGGACCGCAAAAGTGAGCATGCTTTTGACAACCTGCAGCCCCTATGAACTGGTACTACCGTAACTTCCATTTAGTTTTCCATTCGCTTTTCATTTGACTTTCCAGTATTGTGGGTGATACAACTCCCAAACCCTGAACCCTAAATCGAGTTGATTTGCCAACTCGGGGTGGTTGCATGCTGTCACATGGTGCAACATGCTTAGCACGTGCCAGTGCGTAGTCGGGGGCTCGATAGAGCGATATAGCATGACACAGGATCTTCGGGTTTCGAGTTTAGGGTTTGGAGTTTAGGGCTTTACAGCGGGAAATGGAAAATCGAAGCTACTACACATGAGGGCTTCCATAAACAGAGGCCCCAACTATGGACCCAATGTGTTACTGTCTGTATAATGGGACTCCCCAACCTCAAATTCTTGAAGCCTCCATATGATTGAATTCCCACCCTAAACCAAAGACCCAATTTAGGGTCTAGGGGCCTTGAGGAACTTGAGGACTGTCCTTACTGCCAGGTGACTCCGGCTGCCATTCAAGGCTTCGAGGCAAATCACGAGCCATGCTCCAAGATGAGCAACTTTCAGGGTTTGTATTGTAAAGGGATTGTAATGGGGACCTCAAAGGGGGAATCCTCAAGTAGGTAGTAGGAATATCTAGGAATTGAATAGGAATGTAAGGTCCTTGGCAGACATATTCCCATTATATTCCTACTATATTATTGGGGTTCCCGCTTTTGGGGTTTAGGCTTAGGGCTTTCCGCATTTGTATGTAGTAGTGGCAACTCTAACAGTAACAGCAATAGTGATAGTACCCCTCACGCTCTTAGACGATCGTGGGACGAGCTGCTGACTTAGTGCCTCAGGGGGTCGGGCTACCCCTCTACGGTTTTGGAAGCATCCATATCCGCAAAGACAATTTCGTTCATGTTTGACCCTATACGGTTTTGCGAGCATCATGCTGGCCAAGATAGTTTCGTGAATGTCGAAGGTGTCACATGCTCGATTGTCCCATGAAGAAACGTATGTTTCTACGTCGGGCTACCAAAGCATACAGTGAGCAGTGCATCCATGCCAAAGGCATAATCCCATTCGTGTTCCAAGAGCATGCAGAACCAGAGCCTCCCGAAGCACAATCGCGTTCGTGTTCATTCCTGTTCCAAGAGCATACGAACTTCAAAAAAGACAGTGTTTCTGTGGTTTTTGGGCATGTCCCAATGTAAGGTAGGCCTGCAGCAGTCACAGGCCGAAAGCCCGAAAGCGCATTTTGACCTTGAAGTCCAAGCGCATTGCTTCTTCTTTAATGTGCAAGGTACTAGAGGTCATTCAGAAGTCATTGCTATCTACAGAACTCTCCCAGAAGGTACTGCACATATTCGGAAACCCCCATGTGACGTTTCATGAAGACTTTCCTCCGACTTCCCTCCATGTTCAGCAGGGACGCGTACTGTGCCCACAGAGGCACCCTTTTCACAAGGAGGTGTCTTCAAATAACAGCAGCCGTAAAAGTAACAGTAGTAAATGTGGTAGCAATAGTAATAACAGTCATGATAGTAACATTAGAAGTAATGAAATAATAGCGAGAATCTAGATCATAGTAAGAATTGCAATGATAACAAAACTGGTAATTCTAGTAGTAATAGCAATGATAGTAACACTGGAATACTTGTTCTAGCCGTGACAAACAGTAGTTAGCCCCTCGACAGAATTCTACAACTCTGCTTGATGCTATCAGATTGGGACCCTAAACCCTAAACCGCCCCGCACGTTTTAAACGGGGTTATATGGGGGTTATATGGGGGGTATATATGCGTCTGCGCTCCGCGTCCCACCCCCACCCCCCCTCCCCCCCCATGGTATCCCTCCCCCACTCCGCTCCCCTGATGCTTCAAAAGTGTCAACAGTCACAGGGATGGGGCCCCTCGGGGTCGCCATCCTCGTAACTGTCATCGTTTTTGAGCTCTAATATCTTGTTGGCGTGCCGAAAGTGTCAACTGTCACAGGGATCAGGCGGGTCGCGGTTGCCATCCTCGTAACTAGCTCTCACATCTTTGTGGCGTGTCA